TGCACTTTACTTTTTGAGTACCACAAAGGAATTTTTCCTGGTATAACCATGCATGTATCTGCACATAGCCTTTACCATATAGCATAATAATACTCTGCACGGCTTTCACAGAGTGTAATAATAATAAAAATACTCTGTTTACATGCACTTTCATTATTTTGTAGCAGGAAAACTGAAGCAATATAAATTCATTTTTATAGTGGTTGGTGTCAGTTAATACGTTGTTCTTCTAGAAGTAATGTATTGTAATATAAATTTCCTGTTAAGTTAGTGTAGAACAAGGTTTAGACACTATTTGTGAATAACAATTTATTTGTGACCCTGACATAATTTAATGCAAATATATTGCTCTAAAATGAATTGGTCTGATATCAGATTGATGGTTTGTACTTTTATTATGCATAGTATTTATAAAAGTCCGCCATCCCACATGTATATAGAAGTAAAGATTATCAGCTATTCACTATACGAATATATAGCTTCATTAAAAGGGCTCTGGAGATGCATGTAAATCATGAAAGAAGAGCTTGTGATGTTTCCACTATAAAACCTTGCTGAAATTCCCTTTGAATTTGTTTTATGTACTTTTATGTGCATGTGCATTTTATGTTTGTATACTTATTTATAGGAAATCTTTTTATTTTTTGTATACTTATTGTATACTTTTGTATACTTATTTTTTGTATACTTTTGTTGTTTGTATACTTATTTATAGGAAATTTTTTATAATTCAAAATTATTTCATTTCTTCAGATAAGCATATATCTCAACTTGTTGGAAGTTTAGCATAGAATCATATATGTGAAAGAAAGAGTGTTTACTGTTGTCGTCACTGAGAGATGGTGGGGTAAGACTTCACAAGGTCAGCAGGTGGAGAGCAAATCAATGGGACCAGAATCTTTTTAAAGAGAGGGTGTAGAGGCCAAAAGGTCTGAGTCCAACTCTTCTAGCGCGCACTTACACTTTTTGAATTATTCAGATACCTGGCCACTGATAAGGAATCTTAAGTAATGTGCTTCACCTTAACATACACTGGTGTAATAGTCTGGAGTGTTCTGATTGAGCACAGACTATCCGTGAGTCTGAGGGGAGGAGCGAGAGCTGGTGTTGGAAGAATGGGAGTTGAGACAGCAGGGAGGAGCGAAAGGGCTTCTTGGAGGTGCACACGCAAGCGCGAAGAAAGCGTTTTGGGCTGTTTGTGAGAAGGTTTCCAAAAGCTATTATCAGCACAAGGATGATGTTTACCTGGCTGTTTTTCACCCGAGTCCTTGCTAAATATTGTGTAAAAGGGAAGGCTCTTAAAACAGCTTTGGAAAGGTGAAGTTTAAGTTATTACCTGAGTCCTGCTGGGAGTCGTGGGGAATAAACAGCAATATGGCTGCCTACATGGAGAGGTGCAGTTTGAGGCTTCAAAGTACTGTTACCAACAAGTTACCTTGCTGTTGTTATTTTGTTGTCGGGGTTTTTGTTAGTTTGGATTGTTTTAACTAATTTCAGCCTCATTTTAATTTCTGTTTGTATCTAATACTGACCTGAGAACAAAGACATAAAACCACATTATTTCGACTAATCTGACTGATGAATATATGGGCCTGTTCACAGATACTCTGTTATTTAAGCAAATTCCTTTGTTCTGCTTTTCTCTTTCCTCGCTTCCCTTTGCCCCTTTGGTGAAGCTGTGTAATTAAAAGACATTTTTACTGTGGTTGAACTGAAAAAGTAAGAGAAAAAAATAACTTCAGACCCATTGAAATGTGCCCTTCAAACTAAAATTAATATATATTCCTTTTTCTGGGTATTTGAACTTTTATTTGTTTCTTTCTTTTAATTCCAGTTGAGCTGTAAAATAATTTAAGCTGATCCCAGGCTTCATTCTTGGTGAATTTGCAGGGGTGGTGAGGTTTGTGGGAATTACTGTTCTCTTTTTCTAGACACTTGTTCTCCTTTACTTTCTGCCTTTATTTTTACTAGGATTCCCAGCAAGCTGCTCATCGCTGTGCTAGCTTCTGTTCTTGTCCCCTTCCCATGCCAGTGGGAAGAGAAGCATGAAACTAACTGGGATCATGTCGTTCCAGTCAGTTTAACATAGCTGCTGCTGCTGCCACAAGCAACGAATTTTATATTGCAGGAGAAGAAAAGTCATGCAATGTGATAAACCTGGAGGCTTGTCCCACTTGGGTGTTCAAACAGAAAATGTAGGAGGCTTTATGCAACCCTCAGACGTAGAGCCCTGCACCCAGTTTCAATTGAATATGAAACATGGTCTTTAAAAGCACCACGCAAAAAGTATTTTGCAGGTTTTTGAGCAATCGTGTCTGTTTTCTTTTTATCTGCTGTGCTTTAATGTGTTTTAATGTCAATTGTCATATTCTGTGTGCATGCCCCGGTGCATTCCTGTGTTCTCTCCTAAACACAGGTGTACATGCACGCACACACACACACGTGCAGGCATCTTCCAGGGAGAATGTTGTGTCATCGAGGTATATTCATACCTCATTTGAAATGTAGAGAAGAAAAACAGCAGAGCATTCCCCTGAAACACAAAGTGTTGCCTACAGCAAGCCTCTCAGTGCCACGAACGGTGCACAGGGACCGTCACTGCGTGTCGCCTTCATCTACTGCCCAGTCTGCATCGGGACACTGAAGCAGAGCAGCAGTGTATGATTTTTTTTAGCTTCTAAGTCTTTGTTTGACAGATGGACGAAGAGTTTCTGTGAAGCTCTCATCTGTTTACTTGTGGGCTGTTTTGACTCCATGAATTTATTATTAACGTGCCAAATTATGTTGTTTGTACCAAGGGTCAGATCATCATTTATATCTTCCACGTAGACTGAAATAAATGCCACTATTGGGACAGACCACTCACTCCTTGGTGCTGCTAGCACAGTGCCTGGCGCTCCCTTTGATCCAGTGGGTTTTAATTTATTTTTACTCTTTGTAAAACTTCAGTCAGCTTTGATAATTAATACCCGAGAAATGTCATGCGTGAGGCTCACTGAAAGTTGCATTGAAGAAAATAGGCTGATTAAGAAGGGGAGAGAAATATATGTCAGTATATTAAATAGAAGTAACGTTTTAGCTTGAAAGACTGCAGATTTGGGCAACTTTGGCTTTTTGAGGGGGGGAGGGTGTTTCTTTGGGTTCAGGGTTCCTTCAGGCGCTCTCTTATCCTCATCCCCTTCTTTTCAGCATGTATGTGTTCAAATCTAGGTGAGCTGCTGCGGTTAAAAAGGAACTGTTTGTGTAGGCAAAAATATCTTGTAAGCTGAAATGGGAGATAACGAAGTGCTCCCGCCCAGCGGTGATGGGATTACCAGGTCCTGCGAATCGCTCGGGCAAAGAGGCCCGAGGTGACACTTCAGACTTGTTATTACACCAGGGATATTGGTTCCATTTAAAGTAAGAAAGTAGGGTCATCTTAGCGTGATTCAGTTCAAAGCTTTGAAAATGTCTCTTATTGGAAAGATTTGAAGTCAGCGGTTTTGATCCTGCTGCGGCAGGGGGCGGCCCGGGGCGGCGCGACAG